TTGACCAAACCCAAGCACGAGCCTTCAGCATGCACAGAAGATGGTGAGAACAAAACTCCCCCTTTCAAGATGTCTCCACCAGACGATTCCACTCCCAAATACCCCTCCCTCCCCTTACTATGACAGCCAATAGCAAGCAAGCAATATAGAGGCTGACACTGGGTCTTCCGATCTGCTGAAACATCTTCAGTGAAGGGGCCATTTCTTCCCACTGCCCACACCTGCTTCTACCAAGGCTTTGCTTTCATTCAGACAGCCCCTGCTTGGTTACAGGGCCAAGATTTCCCGACAGTCTAGGCCAGGGATTTTCAAATGGGGCTAATTAAAGATGTGCGGACTTCAATTCCCAGAATTCTCCTGTCAGTGTTCGTTCATTCATTCATTCATTCATTCGTCTTGTTCAAAGTGGTGAAGATACCCAACACACCTTCCCCCTCTTATTTTACCCACAACAAGAAGCCTGTGAGATGGGTTGGGCTAAGAGATCAGGAGTGACCCAAAGCCCCCCAGCCAGCTTTCATCCCTAAGGCTGGACTAAACTCAGAGTCTCCTGGTTTCTGGGCCAGCGCCTTAATCACTACCCGGAACTTGGTCTATGTGTGATGGCTGGGGAATTCTGGGGGTTGAAGTCCACACATCTCAAGGTTGTTGAGTATGAAAAACATTTTGTTTTTAGCAAATACTCGCTGACAAAACCTACACTATCTTCATCAGCATTTCTGGAAGAAGTTTCAAGACCTCCCACTGAACGAATTTTGGAGGCAAATAAGTCTCATCAGAAAAGAATGAAAAATAAGCTATAAACCAAAGAGTGAAATTAATTTTGCTGACGTGTTGTCATTTTTCAGCCTACAGTTCAGACAGCCGGCCACCTATGGCCATCTTTGAGCTCCTGGACTACATTGTCAACGAGGTGAGTGGAATAGTGAGTCTTCTGCTTTTTTGTCTCCTGCCATCAGAAGGGTTTTTGCTATCGTAAGAAGCATCTTGGAATCATGCTGTCGTGATGGACTCCTGCCCTGGATAGATGTCTGTTGTGGCCTATCGGCCACTGGCCACTTCAGCAGCCGAAGCAGAGGAGGAGGAGGAGGCTTGGGAGTTAGGGTCAGCATCAGGGCAACCTGAGAGCTCTGAGGGGGAAGAGGGAATGGAGCTGTCAGAGAGAGAGACAGAGACAGAGCCTGGGCTCTCCGTCAGCCCTCAGATGGAGAGTCAACAGCCCCCAGGTCTGGAGGTGGCTGATGAGGAAGAGGAGGAACAGCTGGGTCCAGTGCTTGAGGTGCGGATGCGCAGAAAGCAGAGGAGAGGAGAGCAGTGGAAATCAATTGGCCGGTCCTTGGGACAGAAGAACCCCCGCTGCTAGTGAGACCCCATCCTAGCTCTGGGGATAAAAGGCAGGGGTTGGAGATGAATAATGGCAGACAATTATTCATCTTCTGGCCAGACAGATTTGTTAGCCTCTGTTGAGAGAGAAACTTTTTGCTGGGGCTCCTAATAAAGGAATCTTTCAGTTCACTTCAGAGGGTTTGTTGTGTTTGAGGAGCTGGGTCAGAACAGTGACCTCCAGGACCCCTTCCATTCTGCAGTGCTCAGAACCCCCAATGAGGTTCAAGCAATGGCT